ACCAGTCTAAATTATAAATAAACCAAAAGCTAAACCCTCTGCCATTGAGTCTATTCTGACTCATGGCAACCCTATACAAATAGCTACCATTTATTCAATACTTACTATACTCTTGGGAGCTCTGGTGGCTTAGTGCCTAGGGCATTTGACTGCTAACCAGAATGCTAGAGGTTCAAACCCACCAGCCACTCCTCAGAAGGAAGATTGGGCAATCCACTTCCGTAGTGATACTGCCTCGGAAACCCAAGGAGGGGTCGCTGTGAGTGCTTAAAATAACACTGAGCAGAAGGAAGTATCATTATCATTCCCATTTCACAGATGAGATGACTGAATTTGAAAAGAACTAGGTAACTTGCACAAAGTCAAGAGCTTCATTCATTCCATGTCGTTTATTAATTAGTTCCTGGCTGGGCCAATCATTAATTTAACAGTACCATGACAGCATATGGGGCATAACTCTGAAGGTATGCAGAGGCCCAGCCTAAGAGAGAAGCCTTGTCATATTGCCTGTTACACTAAAACTCAACTCAGTGGAATCTATTCTGGTAGCCCAAGAGATGCACATTTGCAACTACGGCTATATCTTGAGTTTGAATTATACTATCCAGTCACATCCAATTCTAAGTATTTAGCACATATATCTTCTGGATCAGAAAAAAAAATCATGAATCCACAGTCCATTCTTCTTGAAAGAGAAAGCAAAAAAAAAAAAAAAAAAAAAGTGCTGGACTTTTGACCTGAAAATTGATGTTTTTAATCGACCTAAATCATTTCCAGTTAAATACCATTCTCTTGTGAACCAAATTCATCTGCTGTAGATCATAAATTCTCCTGGACAGGACCTCAACTTTTTAGAGCCTGTGTAAAATGGTGCAGACATTTAGCACTCCTGGTATAACAGATGGTTAGCATTTATAACAAAAGAATAAGAACAATGGCAGGCTCATCACCAGTCCTAGAAATCTTGCTGTGCAAGAGGAATCCCATTATATACATGTTGTACTCTCCTTACAACTTACTATAAAGGTATGTTCCTCTTTGGGAAAACCCACTAACTCATTCCTTCAAATCTAGGCAACAAATAGATCAGTGAGCCTGAATTCTAATTATATAATGATTCTTTGCTTTACAAGTCAGTTTTTGCTAAAGAGTCTCTTTAAATAGTCAATCTCACTTTGGCATATTCAAAATTGGATTTGCTTTGGAAAATGTTGATTAGACTCAACTTTTCAGGAGCAAAGAGAGTGTGCAAAAATGAGGCACTGCCTGTCAGGTGTGAATGGTGAAGTCTCACTTAGTGATGGCAATGAAAACAAGGCTCATCACCATTCCATCCCCTGAGCCCACCAAAGAATGTCCAAATGCAGCTTTCTAGGGCATCAAGTGGTCCTCAAGCCAGGCAGGAAGGCCAAATCAGCACCGAGGTCATTGACCATCATTAACTATGACTCTAGCAGCCAAGAGCAACAATTCATGCTTTGAATCAATCATGCATTATTCAGTATATGCTAATTATTGACTTAAATAGAGATATAATTTTATTGAGATGGTTATGAAGAAAGAGCTGATGGCCTTTATTCAAATAAATGAAAAAAATTTTGGGGAGATATAATACATTTCTTCCTCCAAATATAAGTCATGTTTAAGGAGGGAAAAAAGAAAAGCTGGAGTAAGGACTAGAAAGGAATACATGGCCAAAAGGAGGAACCCCCAAATTACAGATAACATTTTCTTCCTATGTCAAACCCTCTTTCTTTATGAGCACAGCAAATGAAAGCAGTAAATGGGCCTCAGGCGTTCCTGCTAGCTCTCACTTCTGATGCATACCAGAAAGAGCACCAATATAAGCTGCATCATTCAATTTAGCAAGTAAGTATTGTGCAGCACTGTTCTAGACTAAAAGATAGGAAGAAAATAAGACAGAGAGGGAAAAAGATGCACATTTAATAAGACACCTGATAGCCTTTAAAGACTATACAGTATCTTTCAGTGTTGTTCTAAGCTGGCTTCATCAACAGAAAACTGAGTATGCTCCATTTTGAAACTGGCTACTGAGCTCTGGTGGCATAGTGCCTAAGGCATTTGACTGCTAACCAGAAGGCTGTTGGTTTAAACCCATCAGCTACTCCTCAGAAGGAAAATTGGGCAATTTACTTCCATACAGATACCGCCTCAGAAACCCAAAGAGGGGTCACTATGAGTCAGAACCACCGACTCCAGGGCAGTGAGTTTTGTTTGTTTGTTTTACTGCAACTAAAGACCTCCTTCAGATCTTTTTCCAAGAGTCCCAAACTAATAGTTGACTAGTGTCTGTCCAGATTTGGCAGGCTAATGAGAATCCTTCAGGAAGTTCTAGCTATTGTGTAGAAAAGCTGTTATTTTAATACTACAACAAGCATTAAGCACTTCAATAACTTCAATATGCATTAAGGCCAATAAAAGAGGCACAGGAGTCCTGATGGCACAGTGTTAAGCCTTAGGCTGCTGAGAGTTTGGGGGTTTGAACCCACCAGATGCTCTGTGGGAGAAAAATGTGGCCATCTATGACAATCTACTTCCCTAAAGATTTACAGAGTTGGAAACCCTATGAGTCAGTTCTAACCTGTCCTATTGGTCACTATAAAACCCTATGGGGTAGTTACACCCTATCCTATAGGGACATTATGAATCAGAATCAAGTTGACAGCAATGGGTTTGGTTTTTCATTTGTAAAAGACAAAATATACAGAATTTTTCATAGGGCAGTTCATTTCTGGACTCCTTTCATTTTCATGTTCCCGCCTTGTGTCTGCTTTGTGTGCTCCAGAATATGTAGATAAATAATCAGAAGAAAGGGGATATTTAATACATATACTGACTAAGTTTGGGGCCTAGATATGATGAGTGTGTGAAGGAGGAAAGGAGGATCATGAGTCAGGTGGAGTGAAGGGTAAGTTGGAGACTCAGTGGAGAGGAGGAAAATGAAAATTGTTATTTTGGATTGTTGATGCTAAATGCCTTGTATTTCAGGTTCTGTCCCATTTATGTTCAGAAAATACCCCAATCATCTACGCCGTGTGCAGTTTATGTTCAGCACCCTGGGCAGAATAGATAGTATTTGGGGCGGGGTCTATCCTCATCAGCCAAGGATGAAATTCTGATCTGAGCCCCCCAGGGAAGATGAGTCTACCCAGTGTAAAAATGGGTTTTTTGACGCCATTTGGGAAAAGGTCGAGTGTGAGGAATTAGTCAGTTGAAGTGAAGCTTCAACCTTTCTTAGGTATGGAAGTGCAAGGTGGGTTGTTCACAGGGTGGAGGTAAGGGGCTACTCCTGGTATCCTCTGCGCAGGGAACTTGGAACGTGTGTGGCAAAGGCCTTGCTCTTCCAAGATTGGGTCTTGGGGTGTAAGGGGTGGGGTGGGGGCCTGAGGGGTGGCTTGGAGCCCTGGCAGTGGCTGCCTGACGTCACCGGCCTCTCTGGCAATAGGCTGTGAGCTGAGCTCCCTGAAGCAGCGGTGGTGGTGGTGGCGGCGGCGGCGGCAGCGGCAATAGCGGCAGCGCGGCTTGGTCTCTGGCCCCTTCACTCCGCGCCTTCTGCAGCCGCCACTGCAGCCGCGCGGCGGGGGCTCCCTCCCTGCAGCCAGCTGGAGGCCCCAGGTAAGAGACGCGGTGCGGTTAAAGCTTCCGTGCGGTTGGGCTGCGAGGCAGCCGCTCGCGAGCGGGGAGGACACTCTCGGCGGCCTGCGCAGGCATTCCTGGCCACTGCTTCGGCCCCTACACCAACCCCAGTCCCAACCCCAGCCCCTGCCAGGCTTTGTGCACCTCCTGGTTGCTCCGCAGTGCAACAGTTTGCAGCTGCCTCTTGGGAGCGGCGAGAACGTTCTGCTGTGCGCTGCGGGTCTGCCTGGCTCTATTCCCCGGGAAGAGCTTCGGGGCCTGGGACTGGGTCTGGGAAGGCCGCAGAGAAGGTCCATTCCCCAAACTTTACAGGCAGGAACCCTCCCCCGTCCATTTCCAGTTCCCTTAGATTAGAAATAAGCAGCGGGGGAACCCATCTAGTGGGGGAAACAGGGAGATGGTAAGGAAACGGGAGTCTGCTGAGATGTGCTTCAGCCGAGAAAGGTTCTTCGGCTGCTTTTTACTTGGTGGGAGGTGGTGAGCCAGGAAAGAAGGCTGGAGAAAGAATGGGGCGCGATCCTGAGCGTTCGCTGTGGCAGTGGACAGAGAAGGAGTGGGACACAGGCCAGTGATACCCCTTTGGGAATGGGACCTTAGAGATCTGACGCCGTCCAGGGCGGGGGAGGAAAGGGAATGGAAAAGAGAACTGCGTACCCGGAGCCCTCCCGGCGGCCAGGAGTGGGTGGTGGGGGAAGTAGGATCCAAGCAGACTTCCGCGGAGAGGGTGCAGGAAAGAGGAGAGCTTGGCGCTCGGGGAAGTAGGGAGTGCGATCCGAGGCTGCTGCCTGGTCTGTTGTAATTAGAAAGTTGCAAGAGGGTGCAGGAAGGCTGTCTTATCTGCTGAGTAATTCACTCCTCCGCCGTGCAGGCGTCGACCCCTTTCGCGCGAGTGGTGCGAGCAGGCAGCTGGCAGCTCTGGTGGGTGGCCCGGGGCGGGAGGGCTGGGGTCTGCAGGCTACGGAAACGACCCGCAGCACCTATCCGAGGCAGTGTGCTCAGAGGGCCACTTAGCAGTGGTAGCAGATTATTCTCGACCTCCGCTCTCCCCAAAGCAGTTACCCGGGATCCTAACTAAGCCTCTTCTATTCGCAGCCTGGTGCTTTGGTGAAGGAAAAGGGCGCGCGGAGACGCTTTTGAGGCGGGGCCTGAGAAGATCTCCCGGGCGCCGCTCGCTGGCCGGCGTGTTCGCCCGCAGTTGCTGCCTCGATCCTTAGCTCGCGCGCGCATCTCCGCCCGTGACAGGGAATAGTTTGGGTGGCTTGCGCTCCGTCCTCTTGGCTGGTGGGAACCGTGTGCCCAAGAGGGGAAGCCTGGTGGGCTCAGCCCCTCCCAGCCCAGCGCCGATGAGTGCCAGGGCGCCCAAGGAGCTGAGGCTGGCGCTGCCGCCGTGTCTCCTCAACCGGACCTTTGCTTCCCCTAACGCCAGCGGCAACGCGAGTGCCCGCGGCCCGGGCGGTGGCGGAGGCACCTGCATAACGCAGGTGGGACAGCAGTTCTTCCAGTCTTTCTCTTCCACGCTGGTGCTGATTGTCCTGGTCACCCTCATCTTCTGCCTCATCGTGTTGTCTCTCTCCACCTTCCACATCCACAAGCGTAGAATGAAGAAGAGGAAGATGCAGAGGGCTCAGGAGGAATACGAGCGGGATCACTGCAGCGGCAGCCGCAGCAGCCAGGGGCTGCCCCAGCTGGGCAGCCAGGCCCCGACCCATGGAAAAGAAACCCGACTGGAGAGGCAGTCCCGGGACTCTGCCTACTGCGCCCCCTCCAACGCCTCTTCGTCCTCCTCGTCCCTCGGCCTCCAGTGCCCGGGTCCTTGTCCTCCTCCGCCTCCACCGCCAGCCCCCAGTCCTCAAGGAGCACTTGCAGCCTCCTCCTATTTGGACACAGCTGGCGAGGGCCTTTTGCAGACGGTGGTACTGTCCTGATTGTCTAGCTCCTGTCTTCTACCCGTCCTCCTTTCCGGCTCTTATGCTCTCTTTGCTTTTTCCCCCTCCCCCTTCCTCCTCCCTTCCTCTTCCACTTTCCTCTGGCCGCTCTTTACTCTTTCTTCTTCATTCCCTCGCTGCTCTCCCCTTACTCTGTTTCTCCTCCGCCGAGGCACTGTGCGGTATTTGTAAATATTGGGTGAGGAAAGTCTCGGAAGAAGAAATAACGCTGATAATAATACTTTATTGACATTTATAGTAATTATTATAATACTAATAACACAATTCAAGCGCATGACAAATCACATAATTTCTCATTGTCAGTGAAGGATACGTCTTCCCTCTCCACCCTGCCCCCACAATGAGGAGGAGAAACCGCACAAGCAACCAAATTTGTGAAAGGAGTTGACCCCGGGATCGAAGGGAGGGGAGGGGCCCAGTGGTGTTGTACATAGCTGTTAAGTAAAGGTTCAGTTACCTTCCCTCCCCTCTGCCCACTCAGCTTTCACTTTTCCTTCAGCTTCCTTCTCCTACCTATTCCTACCCAAGCCAGGCTCAGGCAATAACATATAATAAAGGAAACGTCTACATTAAGCACCAGGACCACAAGAGGCCACAGAGACAGTTCTGAAACCCGGCGAAAGAAATATAAAGACACTATCTTACAGGTAGATATCTCAATCCCTGCGTGAACCCAGAAAAAAGAAACATTTATAACAGTTACTCCCACCAATCAGCCCTCTTCTCACCCCTTGGTTAACCACTCACTTTTCCAAGACAGGACATTTTAATTTACTTTTAGAAATGTCCCTCGCTGGCCGAGCAAAAGTGCATTAAAATTATTAAATAAGTTAAAAACAAAACTAATCTGCTTTCGCTCCCTATCCTCCCCAACTGTACACCTTTGACTTGTGGCATTTTCAGGATTCATAGAGGATCCGGGAGCTGTCCAGCCAGGTCTGGTGCTGAAATTGCCTCTCCGTTCTGGTTACTGCCTCTGGTTGTGCAGGCGGAGGAGGGGCTGTTTTGGAAAGTGACTATTCTAGCTTTCGGTTGGTTTCTTCGTTTTTTACAACTGGATTTGCGTGTACTATTGATTTTCTTATTAAACATCGTATAAGTTATCTTTTTTGTAAAAAAAAAAAAAAAAAGTATTAGGTGATGTGCAGTGCTGGAAGTGCGGTATCTAACCAACCAGAATGTTTCTGCTTTATTTTTAGAACAAGTATACCTTTGTTATATATATTCTATTGGTACCAAATACTGAAGCAAACTACAGTTCTGTACTATGTCCTCCAAACTGTATATTCTTGTTCTTAATTTCCAGCTGTTGATATAATGGCTACCACTGGATGAGGAATTCAGTGGTGCAGACCTGGCTTCTGCTGTTTCCAGAAGTGTTCTTTTGTACTTTACCCTGTAGTAGACTGTTATGAAAAGATGACACATATGTTTTTTTTTTCTTTTGTGAGTAACAGGAACAACCACCACAACAGAAAACAAATAATGGATGTGCAGGAATGCCATCTATTAAAACATGGTTAATATTTAAACAGTGCCTGTAGTCCTCCCTGCATGCAATTACTACCTGGAGGCAGTGGTGTGTGTGCTTGCTTGTACTGTATGTATTTTGGGGTGAGACTGTCGGGGTATTGGGCAATTCAGATGACAGGACATGTAGATTTCAGGAGAAGCTAAATTCAGTAACTACCTGTAGGAGAAAATGTTTGCAGTTTATTCAATTAGGAATCAGCATCTGCCTCTGTGACGCATTAGAGGAGGTGGTCTCTTTCTCTTTCTGAGTCTGGCTTAGGTAACATCACTGAATACATATTATTGAGGGGGAAAAAAACATGGGAGAAGAAGATAAATATTTTGTTCTCTCTCTTAATGCCAGACAAGGCTTTGTACATTAGAAACGGAGTACACCTATAGTTATTTAACATTTCCTTCCCTTGGGTTGATGATAGAAGGGACAGAAGCATAATATAGTCTTAATCATATGCAATAGAAGCCATTCTATTGGGAAACAAATTCTTAGAGAGCTATTCAAAAGTCTGGAAAATGCATGGATGAGAATGATCCACCAAAAACTCACCCAAAATAGTCCTTACTAACCTGCAAAGTGTAAGGCCACAGTGTCCCTAAGTACATCCCTCTTCCAAATAACTAGTTATTCTAGAAGTTCTGTCTTGGTTCCAGGCATATGTTTTCTTACCCAGAGAAATATTACCTCTGAGGTTTTAGGTCATCTACGAAATTGCCCATGCACAGTCAGGATCCTAAAATAATAATAATGATAATAATAATAAGCTTAATTTTAATCACCCATTGGATTTTCACTCAAGTTTTTTCCTGAAGCACAGAGGATCATCATTTAAGCATTCCGTGTTGTAATATTAGGAAGACCAGGTATAAACTCACATACAATATATTAAACAATGAACCAGATTCTCTCCAGTGCCTTAGTCACTTCCTAGTAATAGGTAAAAGAGTGCATTAACTCCCTCAGGCCACAGGGGAATCCTTTAGCACATCAGAGCTCTACATTGTACATCAGAATGACTAAGGCATTGTGAAGAAGAAAGTCCATAAATTTCTGTAGCTCACCCTCATACAGCTGTAGTTCTTTAATATCTTAATACAGCATATCTTTTAGAGTTGAAAGTTGAAGAGAATTGGGGAGCTTCCTCATTTCCAGTGAGTTCCACCAACTGCATGAACATTACTTTCTTCCCTTTATTTGGTGTACTTTTTACAGTGAGTAATTTCCCATTTTATTAAAGCAATAAGGTGTTCTGTTGTGAGCAGTGCTAGATTATGATTCCATTTCCTTGGTGCTGATGCTACTCATACATTCTTGCCTTGTGAGTCACAGTGCATTCAAGGCATGCAATAATAATACCCTTCCAAGAAGCAGCCTGCACACTCTGAGGGGTAACTATGAAATTTCCCTGTATCATTTTTCCCAAAAAAAACGAATAGAAGGAGTAGGAGAAATAAAAACATTATGTATACTGTAAGAGAAAGATCTTGATACCTCTAGACATGGGCACACATATCTGTAATATGCTTTTTTTGTGCGCTTTTAAATGTTTATGCTTTTCTCCATTAATTGACTATGGTTTAGTATTTTTAATAGTGCTTTCATATAAAGATGATGTGGTTTTTGAATCAAATTTCCCACTGAGTTAAATTTACTCAGGACCCTAAGTGTCTAGTGGTGCCACTCTCTTGAGATTTTTATTTTCATAGGATAGAAAGAGAATTACATGAAATTCTAGTAATGCCAGCCCCCACACAAAATTATCACAATAAGTTCATATCCAAGAAATTTTTACAGACCCTGTTTAAAACACTGCTTCTTGTAGAGCTCAACAGACAGTCTCAGGAGTTTGGGATATTACTGACAGGGCATTTTGGTTTTTATTTATATGTAACAAAAGACAATCTGGAAATAGCTAAATTTGTTTCAAGAATTTTATTCACTGATGTCCCATCAAACTAATTGCTTCAAACCACTATAGCTATAGCTCAACTTCTGCACTTGCTACTCAGTATTAATAAGGTGGCATGCTTGATTCTTATGGTCTTTGAAAATGAGAAAATTGGAGAAAGAATGCCATTATGTCAACTGTATGGGACTCTGAATCTTAATGATGTAGATGGAGATAATCTTCCTTAGAATTTATATATACCCATAGATATGTATTTATATATGCATACATTTTGTACAAATTTGCAATTGACTTTTTGTATTCTCTTTTCTGCCATTACAAGAATGAGATGGAAACCAAATTGTTCTTCCATCCTCTTAGTCAGATAGGATACTGAGAAGTCAGATATATGCATGCACTTGCTTTTCTGGGGTCAAATCTGAGTGGCTTTCTCTTTATTTAATAAAAAGAGAGAGTCTTAGTTGGCTCGGGGAATTGGTAATTAGATAAGCTTCCTTTTCTACATTAATGACACAAATGTAGCAATGATTGATATTGGAGTTTTGACCATGTGGTCCAAATATCTAGATGGAAAGCAGAAATATCCAGATGGGGTTTAGAACCATCTAGACCAAAAACCTAGATTATGGTTAGATATTTCATTTTTAACCTATATGTTGTGTGTAGGTACAACTTTTATCTGCTTAACTATTATAAAATGGAAATATAACCATTATCTGTTTAATTTGAAAAGTAGTTTTTGGAAAATATGGATAAATTAGGTTTAACAAAACTTCTTTGGCATCTGACTTTTCTATCTCTCTAAATTGAATTAATTAGATAATGGCTAAAATTAATTTTTTTTTTCATCATGCAGACATATGCTTTAAGTGGTTTTCTGTGGGTGATAGTTGAACAACTGCTAGATGATACTACTTGGAAGTTAAGATTAAATTATAACTTCAGGTCCTTTCCCATGTGAATCTGGACTTTGAGTCTAAATCTGAGAAGTCACTTATCTGGGCCATCTTCCTCTGAAACCAGTTGTTATGGTTCCTAGATATTTCAGTTCACATTAGAAAAAATTCCCCTATTTATTGGAGGGTTATTTAATCATAAGGAGCTCTGATGGTGTAATGCCTAAGGGATCTGACTGCTAACCAGAAGGCTGGCAGTTCAAACCTACCAACTACTCCTCGGAAAAAAGGTTGGGCAATCTACTTCCGTAGTGATGTGGCCTCGGAAACCCAAGGAGGGGTTGCTCTCAGTTGGGTCCAACTTGATGACAGTGAGTGATTTAATCATAAAATTGAATATAAATCCGATTCTCATTTATTTTTATTTATATATTTTTTATTTGGTAACATTTGAGAACAGCTTCTATGGCTTTACACCAATATTGATTAATGTCACCAACCTACTGTTGGTGCCATGTAGGACCACTTAGCTGAAAATTAGAATTTAAATAACTTTAATTGTGGGACAATAACTTATTAAAGTGGTCCCACCTGGTTGAGGCAAGGATAGTTCCCTGATACTTGTGATTTCATTTGCTTGTTTCTA